GACAATGGGAATGGCTTGTTCTGATCCACTTGTTAGCATACGCAAGACGGCAATTTCAGCTCTTTCAGTGGTAAGTTTCCCACTGTTCTTCATCAACCAAATGTTTTGGTTATGGTTTCTAATTGGTTTATATATTTTGTGTAGTTAGTTAATGTTCCAAATTATGAGCATATAACTGGCTTGGAATGCTTTGTTTAGCTTCCCAAGTCCCATAAACCATTAAAAAAATGTATACTTTTGGGAACTTATCTTGAGTTTATCAAAAGGATTGCCATGTTAACTTCTTCCCAGCCCCAGGACCACAATTTCTAACTCACAATGGTTCTCTTAGTATATAAACTTTCAGAAATCCGAACTTTTATTTGACAGAAAAATCTCAATTAAATTTCTGTCAACCACTTTGTAGAAGCACATCTGTATTTGCTGACAATTTTTTACAAGTCGTTATAATATTCTTTTAGTGTACACTTTTGGCTGATGGGTTGGTTTCAATGAGATACATATCTTCTGAACTAAAGATCAAATCAGATAGAGAATGAGAAATATGCTTCATTAAGTTTCTCTTCGTGGAAATTATTTGGCTTGAAAAACCATATGGATGCCTGCCTTAGAGTTAGTGCATATGTTCGTGATCACTTTATGTGTTCTTTTTTACTTGTACATGTAATGGACTTATTTTTGTGCAACTCCTGATATTATTTGTTGGACCTCTGCATTGACCTCTTAGGCCTTCAGAACATTCCTGGATGAAAGGGTGGCAACTGAGTGGCTACATTCTGTTCCACGTTTAATAGCTGATAATGAGTCTAGCATTCAAGAAGAATGTGAGAACTTGTTTCTAGAGCTGGTATTAGAACGGGTATCGACTGTGGATTCAGTTATTTCACTTCATGATGAATCTGTAGCAAAAGGCACAGAAATGGATGTTGATTCGGTGTTTCCTGAAGGTGTTTTGTGTATATTGAAAGAGATTTGCAATGGAGAGGTGACACCTTGGGTGAAGAAAATTTGCACAAACCTGGGAAAGAAGAAACTGATGAAGCCCAAATTTGCTGTTTCACTTCAAAATATCATACGAACATCTGAGTCTCTCTGGCTGAGTCAATCCTTGCCAATAGAGAAATGGACAGCCCCACCTGGTTCTTGGTTTCTTTTATCAGAGGTGTCAGCATACCTTGCAAAAGCAGTGGACTGGGAGTTTCTTCATCATCATTGGCAGCTCTTTGACAACTATGGAGTGGGAGGAGAGGTTCAAAGGCCTATGGCTCAAGGATATGCACATGAAGAGGAAGAGGGTATTGATTCCAATTCCGTTGCTTGGGCGGGGGATCGTGTTTTTCTCCTGCAGACAATTTCTAATGTTTCTGTTGAGCTGCCCTCTGAACTTGCAGCAGACTTAGCTCACAACATGCTTAAAAGAATTCATGAGTTCAACATGCATTCAACAGAGGTAATATCTGCTGGTGTGAGCATATTGTTAAAATGTGCTCCTTTATTTAGTTGCTTTATGTAATGACAGGTTAATGCTCATGTAAAAGCACTTAGAACATTGTGCAAGCGGAAGGCTTCAAACCCAGAGGAGGCTGATGCTCTTGTTGAGAAATGGGTGGACAGGCTCATCAGAGAGGCTTCTACGATTTTAGAAAAGTATATTTCGGGTGATTCAGATGCAGTCAGAAAAGCTGACTTCTTTACGCCACCTAGAAGTGAGACTAGAAAGGGCAAGAGAGTATTGGCCATGTCCGGGTCATTGTCAAAAGCAGTCACAGCAGTTTACACCATTGGGTCTGTAGTTATCATTTACCCATCTGCTGATATGACCACCGTCATTCCACTACTGTACACTATCATCACTTCCGGAAATCCTGATCCAAAAGTTAATAAATTAACCGGGCCTGAAGTCTCCCTGAAGCAGACAGCCCCTTCGTTATACATTCAAGCATGGCTGACTTTGGGGAAGATCTGCCTTGCAGACGGAAAAATTGCAAAGAGTTATATTCCGCTGTTTGTGCAGGTTTGTTCATTGACTTTGCATTTTTTTCTGTTGTACAGTCTTTAAATGCTTTTTGGAAAGAGCTCATGGACACGTGGCCATGACAAAATGCTTCAGATTTCTGGGGTACCTAAAACCTAGAAACTGTTTTGCTAACAATTGTGCTCACCTGCTGCATACCAGTTTTACACACTTACCAATTATTCTCACATACGTATACTCATATATATGTATATTAGTCATATCTGCGTGTGTCAGCAGTTTCAAAAGTGTTCATTCTTAAATTCTTTGCTTCTTGTGTCTATATAAATAATTGAGTTCCAAACCTCACAACATTCTATAGGAACTTCAAAAGAGTGATTGTGCTGCACTCCGTAACAATCTGATAGTGGTGATGGCAGATTTTTGTGTTCGCTACACTGCTTTAGTTGATAGGTAAGACCTGTGAAACTGTACCTTAAAAAACTTGAGTAATATCTTTGACATTTACCTTTGAAACTTTATTGTTTGCTTTATAAGTTTCTGAATAGTTTTTCTTGAATCAACAGTTATATACCAAAGATCACAAAGTGTCTCCGTGATCCATGCGAACTTGTAAGAAGGCATACATTTATACTTCTCTCGAGATTATTGCAGGTATATGTTGGTTCTGCGTCTTACCTTTCCATTTTGATTGAAATCTAAGCATATAACTAGTTCCGTGTTTTATTCTGTGCTGGCATATTCAGAGGGATTACGTGAAGTGGAGAGGTGTTATGTTCCTCAGATTTCTCTTGTCAATTGTTGATGAGTCAGAAAAGATAAGGCAGCTTTCCAGTTTTCTGTTTAACAATATTCTGAAAGGTTAAAAGGCTTCCTCTCGCTAATCAAATTTCCAGTTGTGAAATTGCGGATGTGTTTGTCAATGAGATTTGACCATTCTGTATGATTTTTTGTCTTTCAGTGAAGGCACCTCTTCTAGGATATAACAGTTTCGTAGAAGCAATTTTTGTTCTGAATGATTGCCATGCCCACAATGGACACAGTAATGCTCAGGTATCACGAGCAGAGAGCCGACTTTTTTCCATCAGGTAAGGTGTGTCTGTCATCAATTGAAAGTAAGCAACTATGAAAATGAGATTATCTTAAATATAGTCCATGTTATTGTCCCCAGGGGGAACGATGAAAATTCGAGGTCTAAAAGAATGCAGATCTATGTTACTTTGCTAAAACAAATGGCTCCAGAGCACTTATTGGCTACCTTTGCAAAGTTATGCGCAGAGATTCTCGCTGCAGCATCTGACGGTATGCTCAATGTAGATGATGTTACCGGACAATCTGTTCTGAAGGTATTTGCTGCCTCACATGTTCAAAAACTTCTTTCATATTTCTCCGTTTGTCTGGAATATGTATAACTGTAATATGTTATACTGACACATTTGTGTATGTAATGGAACTTGTACATTCTGTGTCCTTCCAGTTTAACCTTTTGAGTCTTTTTATTGAGTTTCTTAGTAACATATTTCTAGATTTCTGATTGATCTCCTTTTTTATACGTGCTTTCTTAATTTTGAGAGCAGGATGCTTTCCAAATTCTTGCCTGCAAAGAGATCCGAATCCCATCCAACCGCGGATCATCAACTGACACTGGAGAAATGGACGAAGATGGTGGTGATAACAGCGGGGCATCTGCTAAGGGAAGGATAACTCAAGCAGTCAAAAAGGGGCTCATCCAAAACACAGTACCCATCTTTATAGAGCTGAAACGGCTACTGGAAAGCAAAAACAGCCCCCTCATCGGCTCTCTCATGGAATGCCTCCGAATCATTCTCAAGGATTACAAAAATGAGATCGAAGACATATTAGTTGCTGACAAGCAGCTCCAGAAGGAGCTTGTATATGATATGCAGAAGTACGAAGCATCAAAGGCCAAAACAACAGCTGCAGAGGCTGTTGCCATCAGCAAAAAAGCAATCAGCTTCAACTCCCCCGGCTTGTCTAAGATTGCTAGCGTGAGACATGCACAAAACCAGTTCAGTAGCAAAATGCAAGGCGACACACAACTGGCTTCTGCAATGGCAGATGCTGCTGCTGAAGCCACCGCACGGTCAGTGCTGAAGGAAGTGAACAGGGGGCTGCAGTCGCCCCCTCTTAGCGCGCTGAGCGTGCCTAAACTCAAGACATGCGAAGGAGGACGTAGCGCTCGCAGTGACCGGCCCTTAGATGTGTTAGAATCTGTGAGGAGAAGGCAGAATTTTGACTTTGATGAAGTGAACTAAATTAGGACACCAGCCCGTGAAATAAAAGGCTGCTAAAGTTAATGTTTTACGTTTTTTTATTTTTTTTTGGGTCTTTGTACTTCAATGTAAATATAAACAATGTTGATTCAATTAAAAAGTTGGATTATGAATAAATCCTAATCAACGTAAAATCAGTTTTTTTATCCCACTTGCGAATTGCTTCCGGTTGATTGCTTCCGTTAGTTTGAATTCTCTTTCTCGTTTTTCATCTTCTCCACGTGCAAGTTCTATTGCCATTCTCCTCTCATTCTAAACAACGGGTCAACCACTACCACTCCGTCTATTCCATTCTTAGATCAGCCACTACCGTTGCACCAACAACACTCTATTTCTCCCTCAATCTCCAACCTATTCCTCCATCTCTAAAACCAAACAAATCCTGGTTTGGGAGGAAATTCACCTCAACTCCAATTTTTCACCTTCAATTATATAAAGGATTCAAGATAAGTTTTTTAAAAGTGTGAAATTGAGAAATTTCAAATTAGACTGTTTGATTGTCGAATTAGGAGTCTGAATTTTTCTAATTAAGGATCAGAATTCTTTCGAGAGCGAAATAATTTTTTATATTACCGGATTTTAGGATCTGAAAATTTTAATTCGATAACTATATACAATTTGTTTGAACCGAAAATTTCGACCCACTTCGATTTTTGGAAGACCCTAGACCTAGTCAAAAAAAGAAAAAAGGGGAAGACCCTAAAAAAAAAAGGAAAAAGAAAAGAGGAAGACCTTATTCAAGTCCTTCTGCACTATGTACCTACGTGGCGTGGTCCGATTGGACGGATGAGCATTCATGGTGGCGTCAAATGAGACTCGCCGTTGAGTCCCTTGAAGCACCACTCCTCTGCTGTTGTGTTGGTTCCGCTTGTTCGTGTCCCAATCTCGAAACCTTGTCTCTCACACGAATTCAAGCACTCACCTTTCGAGGTTTCGATCCATTTATCAGGTAATTTTTTCATTTATTAAAACCCTAATTTTGTTTTAATCTCTGTATATGTATGTCTGCATCAGAATCTAATCTGCATTATTCCCTTTATTTAGGACGAATTGAATTCACGGACTGGATAATCTGAACCGAAAGCCCCATTTGTGGATTCGAATTGAGATTGGAATTTGCCCAATTCGAGCGCTGGTTTGTCCATGCTGGCATTTATTGTTCTTGTTATCGAGTTTTGGGAATTGGGTTTGTTGAATTGTTGAATTAGCAGTAGGTTTTTGACAATGGAAGGTAATAAGGATGAGGCTTTGAGGTGTGTTCGGATCGCCGAAGAAGCAATTGCTTCCGGCAACAAAGGGCGTGCCTTTAAATTTATTAAGATTGCACAACGGCTTAATCAGAATTTGCAAGTTGATGAACTTTTGGCTGCGTGTGAGGCAATTAATTCGGGGTCTTCCGCGTCTTCTGTTGATGAGAAGGGTGCTGGTGAGATTAGGAATGAGCCGGGTGTGGAGAAATTGGGCCGCGGTTTGAATGGGGAAGTTAGTTATACCGAAGAGCATGTTCAGTTGGTTAGGAAGATTAAGAGAAACAAAGACTATTACGAAATTCTTGGCGTGGAGAAGACTTGCTCGGTCGAGGACATTAGGAAGGCTTATAGGAAGTTGTCATTGAAAATTCATCCTGATAAGAACAAGGCTCCCGGTTCAGAAGAAGCGTTTAAGATAGTAAGCAAGGCTTTCAAGTGTTTGAGTGATGGGGATTCAAGGAGGCAGTATGATCAGACTGGATTGGTTGATGAATTTGAGTACAACCAGCAGCACAATAATACGAGGAGAAGGAGGAGGAGAGGTGGGAATGACTTTTTTGACGATGATTTTGACCCCGATGACATATTCAGGGCGTTCTTTGGTCGATCAGACATGTTTCGGTCAAGTCATGTTTATAGGACTAGTAGAACAGCTGGTCATCAGAGGGAGGAGTCTCAGGGAGGGGGACCTAATATCATGCTTCTTCTTCAAATATTACCTTTCTTGGTAATTTTGTTGTTGGCATATCTGCCCTTTTCAGAGCCCGTCTACTCTTTGCAGAAGATTTATAACTACCAGATTCCCAAGACGACAGAGAAATATGGAGTGGAATTTTTTGTTAAATCGCAAGCATTTGATGAGTGTTATCCCATTGGAAGTGCTGGTCGAGTTAACATTGAGAGCAGTGTTATCAAGGATTACAAAAATGTGCTTGCACACTACTGTCGGGTTGAGCTTCAAAGACGCCACTGGAGTAGGAATCTGCCTACTCCTCACTGCGACAAACTAAATAAGATTGGAGTAGCATGAAGGTAAGTTGTGATATTTTCTCAAAAAAAAGAGATCTGTAACTTTTACTTGTTCGTTGTGTCAAATGGTGCCAATGTTTTCTGTTCATTGTTTCCTTGATTAGAACGTGTCTTCCACTTTCCTAACCTTAGGTTTTCCTAACCTATTGTATGAATTGCATGATCCTGTAAGGGAGTTTAACGTTGCTCTTTCCTCTTGGTGCTATGTGTGTTTTCAGCACAAATTCATATTCAGCACAAGTTACTGACCCCTACTTATTTCTCAGCAACTGTAAAGTTGTCAAATTTAAGTCCTTTGAAGCATAAGTTGTGGACAATACCTAAGTTGCAGGGCCAAACACGAAAAGCAGTTTTCCGTGTTTGGGTACTCTTTGAGTGCTTTCATTTTAGTGTAGAACTGTATATGCTTCCCAGCCTTGTTTCTATCCCTGGCCAAAAAAGTTAATTTGAATCCAAGTGTCCTGTTTCTTTGTTGGTTGGTAATTTGGTATCATATTTCAAGTTAACCATTTTAACGACATTCTGTATTTGACTTTTTATCAAGCAGAGGCTATATGGCTGAAGTGGATGTTGAGTGCCACTATGTTGAGCCTGGACTTCAAAGTTCAGTGTGTTGATATTGTAAATGCTCCGGTCGACTTCTTTGAAAGTGACCAAGGATTGCTGATCCTCTCCAATATGACTTGCTGGCCATACAGCTGTTCAGGAATGTCGTCCAGGAAAGCGGTAGCGAGGGTTTTCAGCACCCTAATGGCATATCATTTGGCGAGAAATAATAGTGTATACAACTCTTGAAATTACCTGGAAGGTCAATACTAGTTACGAAAGTTTATGAAAAGTTGAGCAAGAGGTTTGTGATTGTGATTATTTTCGCTTTATAACACTACATTTTCCATGTGTTCTTTCTATCAGACTATGCGGTTGCTGTTTACAGTTTTGTTTTATTTGGTTCAGATACTAAGCATGTCTATATGCAAGTAGCGAGCCGTGCAGCTTAAGCATCAGCCCTTATCGTTCGTTATTTGTTGTTTCGAAGAATTTATCTCGTTTCTTAGCTGACTGTTAAGCATATCTTGTCCTTGACCAATGCATATAGTATGGAGGAAACTATATTGCTTTGATTTAGCTCTATTGTCTTATACCAGTGTCTTGATTTTCAATAGAGTTGTTAGAGAACAGTTTAATCCTCAGTGTCGCAGACTCCCAGCTCCATGTACCTCATAGACGAGTCCTCGTCCTCCGAGGATACATGTGATGTATATCGCAAGAGTCTGCTTGCCTCGGAGTCGTTCAGGGTATCAAAACAGAAGGGCACTGGTGTCCTATGGATGAGTTAAAGAACATCTCTAATGGGAATATAGGATATCTTTACAGTTTTAGTTCTGAATGAAAATGCATGGTTGCTCCTGTTCATTCCAACTTCATGAGATGTTCAATTTCACAAATTGAGTACCTTCCTAACTGACTTCTTTTACTGTGCTCGGGTCATCCGTCTAAGCAGGGGCGGACGCACGTTAGGGCAAGAATGGGCAGCTTCCGGTTCGGAGGCCGAAGTTCGACCACTCATTCGATTAAGGGTCTTTGGGTCTGAATTCCGTTCACATGCCTTTGTAATGTTTATATGATACATTTATAATCTTTCACATATAACATTTTGTGAGATGTTCATTGTTAACTTGATATCAATCCCTTGGTACTTGAAAATTTGTCACTCAAATATGTCAACGACACAACCCAAAGGGGGAAGCGAGCCATGAGGAGTGAGGGGTGGCATTGCCCTCGGGCGGCTGTTCTTTGTGTTTTTTTTAGTTAAAAAAAAGTTTTATGATTAAGTCACATGTTGCCATTTGATTAGATAAGTGAATTCACTTGTGTGTCACATCAGTACTTTAACAAAAAGGCCAAATTGATGAATTTCCAATTTCAGAGACTATTTTAATTGGAATGGTCAATTTAAGAGACTAATTGTATTCCGTTCACATGCCTTTGTAATGTTTATATGATACATTTCTAATCTTTCACATATAACATTTTGTGAGCTGTTCATTATTAACTTGATATCAATCCCTTGGCACTTGAAAATTTGTCACCCAAATATGTCATCGACACAACCCAAAAGGGGAAGCGAGCCATGAGGAGTGAGAGGTGGCATTGCTCTCGGGTGGCTGTTCTTTGTGTTTTTTTTTTTGAAGTTAAAAAAAAAAAGTTTTATGATTAAGCCATCTGTCGCCGTTTGATTAGATAAGTGGATTCACTTGTGTGTCACATCAGCACTCTAACAAAAACAATTGACATAAAATTAAGGGAAGGACCAGAATAATTTGCAGAGCCATTTTTCAAGGCCAAATTGATGAATTTCCTATTTCATAGACTATTTAATTGGAATGGTCAATTTTAGAGACCAACTGTAGTAAAACTCACTTAACTATAGTTGGGTTTTTATCACAAATGGTCATTGAAATTGAAAATCAATAAATGTAGCCTTTGAAAATAGGTGTTGCAAATTAATGTGGTCATTCCTTCAAAATTCTGTTAAAAATTCCGTTAAGTGCTGATGTGGCACATAAATGAGTCTTATAAGTCATTTTTTCTAACAAATGGTCTTTGAAATTGACCCGTGACATCAAAATAGTCCTTAAAATTGAACTGCGATATCAAAATGGTCCATGAAATTGAAAATTGATCAATATAGTCCCTCAAGTAAGTGTCCCAAATCAATGTAGTCATACCGTCACAATTTTGTCAAAAATTCTGTTGTGTGCTTGACACGCCCCAACCTTGATATTTTCACATACCAGGGTAGGTATGTGTTGGCTGACACCCGAGGGTGACAAATCCATTTTGAACATGCTTACCAATAAAAGATATGTAATTAGCAAGATTAAGAAGAATATGAAAGTAGGATTGTGTTCAGAGCATTTTGAACATGCTTACCATTTTGAATAATATGTAATTACCATTTTGAACATGCTTACCATTTTGAATAACAGCAAGATTAAGAATAATATGTAATTACCATTTTGAACATGCTTACCAAAGTAGGATCGTGTTCAGAGCATACAACTAACTAAGAATAATATGAAAGAATTACAAAGAAAAGATACGAACAAGGGAATGAGACCTGTACTGAGAAGACTCGAGGATACCTATGTTGAAATGTCTTGATGTTGGGATCATGTGCCTTGATCCTAACTCCTGAGGGGGCACAAAACCAGAAAAGGTAAGTGAACCAAAGTTTATAATAATAATACTAGTAATAGGAAAACCATTTTCTTTGTGAACATACTAACCCCCTATTTTGAAAACATATATAATACTACATATAGGTTTTATAAAAGCCCTAGCATGCCACGCAAAACCTTCGTAAAACATGTACGTGTAAAACCATGCTCAATAATGCTGAAAACATCGCCCGAAGGCAAATCCATAAATCTCATAAGTGAAGTACTCAACTAGGGGTATCATAGTCGCTCGAAGGCGGTACTTGTCCATCACCCAAAGGTGAAGCTGTATACCCTGTCCATCACCCGTAGATGAAGCTGAATCAAATAACATAACATCCACACCGACACTAGCAGTGGCTAGTGAAGCTGTTTGACACCGCTTTTGGCGGTGAAGCTAGGGGTATATAATATATCATATCTCACTCCTCCATCATTTGTGTCCTATGGCCATAGACATAATACTCGTGGTGTGCGGATGTGCCGTATGATAACCCACTAGGTAAGCACCAAAAATATATCTCAAAATCTCACGTCTAATCTGGAGCTCGAAAGCTCAAAGTCTAATCTTATAAATCATAGAAACTTTCTAGCTCAATTCATCAATATAAATCTAATGAATCCATATCCGTAAATCCATCATATAAATCATAATCGAAATCCATAGAAATCCATATATGCAAATCCAATAATTCATATCCGCTTGTAAAAACATAATTTTCAATAAATCATAATATTTCGTAAAGCGACTTAATTAAATCATAAATTCTATATAAACCATAATTATAGAAATCCATAAAACATAATATAAAACATATTAAACGCATGAAATATGAAATGCATGCTAGGCTAAAATTTTATAAAAATATATAAGTTATGAAGGGGTCCACTCACTGATTTTATTGCCTGGGAATCGCTCAAACTAGCGAGGATGACGTCACTTCCCTCCAACGCGCCTAAACACAATTAGGGACCTTTTAGTACAACTATACTAAAATGTTATAATTTGGGAAAACGGATGGCGGATTCGGATTCGGCACGTCGAAAAACCTCGGGTTTTTCGTCCACACACCGCCGCACGTGGTGGTTGGCCGTCCCAACTCGCTGAAAAATTCAACAACTCCAAAAATTCTCAAATTTTACAAGAATGAAGATCTCGATGAGAGGAACAACTTTCATACCTGAGGCCAAGACCAATTTGGTCGGAAAAATCCCCAATTTCACTAAAACCCTTCAGAGCCCTAGATTTGGATGTGCTTTGATTTGACTTCTTCGGTGCTCCGCCGCCTCTATGGTTGGTTGGGGTTTGTTCATGGGTTCAAGAAGAGTCTAATGGTGGTAAAGATCGACAGAAGTCGTTTCACAAATGGTGATTCAAGGCCAACCCACCCAAATCCGTCGGTGGGTTTTCTCATCACATCGGGGCTAAATTTCGTCAGGTTTGGTTAGAATTAGGTGATGGCGTGTTGTGATGAGGTTTGGTGGTGATGGAAGGTTAAAGAAAGCTGGAAAATTGGACGGAAAATCGTCTGGAAACTTCAAGGAGATCAGGTCATCACGCGGGTCAAGAAGAACCCGATCGATTCCCTCTATCTCATTTTCCTTCATTTCCCTCCTTGCTCTCTCTCTTCCCATTGATCACTCACTCATCTCTCTTCTCCCGATTGGGCAGCGCCCATCCTCCTTCCTCTCCTTTATCTTCATCTCCACCGCCCATCTTTTCTTCCCTTTAATCTGGGCCACATACGTGGCTTTCCAGATTTTGCTCCAAAAATCTAGAGCATTCCAGAAAATAATAAATTTACAATTTTGCCCTCGACTTTATTCGTTAATAACTCTTTTGTTATAACTCCAAATTTAAAAAATTACACAAGTCTAATTAAATTTAAAAAATTACAAATACGTTTAATACTTTAATAGTTAATAAAAAGTTATGAACCCAAAAACCCAGTCCTGCAATCACCTCCGATCTCAGACCATATTTCTCTACCTCCTTTGTTGTCTATTTTCTAAAAAAAAATCTCAATACACTAATCTTTACACGCTTCGACATCCTTCACTGAATTGAACCTGGATTGCGATCACGTTTGGTGAGGGTCAATTTCATTGTGCAACCTAGATCAACACACTTACACTCTATTCGTTGTAGGTCCTACGATAAGAAAAAAATTATATTGTGCAAAAAGACATTTAGACAACTATTTTAATTAAATATTAAATCTACATCAGCACATAACAAATTTTTTTACAGAATTGTGGCGAAATGATCATATTGATTTGCGCACCTATTTTCAAGGACTACATTCATCGATTTTCAATTTTAGTGACTATGGTGTGAGTCAATTTCAGCAACCATCTTAATGATATGAGTCAATTTCAGGAATCATTTGTGATTTAAAAAAAAAATCCATAAATCTTGTGGGATCCATTTATGTGCCACATCAGCACTTAACGAAATTTTTAACAGCATTGTGACGGAATGACCATATTAATTTGCGACACCTATTTTCAAGGATTACATTTATTGATTTTCAATTTCAAAAACCATCTAGATGGTGACGATAATTTTCAGGAACCATTTGTAATAAAAACCCATTATAATTTAGTACAAAGAAGGAAGGATCTTTTGCTTCTTTCCCCACCAATTTTGAATTTCGTATCACGTTCCACTTCACTTTCTTCAGGGTCTCAGATTCGCAAAGGTCCCCATTTCTTCACTACTTAATTTATTGATATATTAAAGGCTAATGAACTTAAAAAGAAAATCATCAATCTTGAGCCCAATGCATTCAAAACTAAAAGAGATGAGATCAAACGGAGCGTCCACGAGCACGCGTGAAAGAAAGAACAATTGAGGTAATTTCTTTCCACCATTTTTCACCTTTGAACACAATTTTTAAGCCGGGCGATTGAACAAATCCAATAAAAATCAAGAACCAAAATTAAAAGGGAGTTCAAAACGTAAAAATGAATGTACAGAAATCACTTCCTTCAACACATAAGTACAAGTCGCAAAGAGAAGCTTAAAACAAAGGACGAAAAGTAAAGTCTACGGAGCTAAAGACGGTACCGCAGGCAACACCGCATCTCGCACCGCCACTGTCCCTCAACTATTTTCAATGACCAAAATATCCTCATATTATCACCCTTAAAATTCCATTTGTCACCTGGTTATTTCCTCTAATTACAATTCAACCCCACTCAATGTTTATTCATACATGATAAGAAGTTTAAGTACGTATCCCAATACTAGTACTCCTGTATCCCTTCTAAGCTGCATAATTCTCTGTAAATAAATACACACTTACAAGCATTAGAACTCGGCAGGATCCACGCCGTAACTACTCCTCCCCTTCGTTGTCACCGCCGCCGCCGAAGATCGAAACCTTGTTGTGAAGAAGGAATAAAACGAGGCAGAGAACCAAGGCAACCCCAACCGGCGACGGCGAGCCACCAATGCTGTGTGTGGTGTAGGGATCCCCGGTCGAGAACGAGGAGACGAAGGAGCCGCTATTGGAAGACAGGAACTGAATGATGATCACGAGGAGAATAATGGGGAGAAGGAGAAAACCCAACTGGCTCAAAAGCGCCCTGAAGGCTTCGATTATGGCCTCCACTTGTTCACCTACATAGGACGGCACCACGATCAACGCCGCCACCACCACCACCACCGCCGCTAGTAGAATCCCGTGGGGGGAAGTTCCGGCGTGCCTCTGCTGATGTATCATTTTTGTGTGTTGTGTTTTTTTTTTTTGTAAGACTTGTGTGTTTCGGTTGGGCGGGTTGGAGGGATTAAAATAGGGCGCGTTTGGCTGAGGTTGTGACTTGTGAAGTCGTTCTCTAAGGAGTGATTGGGGACTGAGAAAGTTGACGTGGATGGAATGTGTTATTATATGTTTTTGTAACAGTTTTACTCGAGGCTCTTGTTTGTGGTGGTCTATTCTGTAGATGTATAGGGGTTTAAAATTATATGTATCTTGTGCAAATTATCTCCAGATCAAGAAATTCGTCATTGAAGAAATTGTACCCATATGGCACCTCGTGTTTGGTTATTTGTAGTAATTAACACACTCTATCGCTTCTGTCAAAAAATAAAAAAGAAAAGAAAATGAATGAATTATTATTTTGGCTACTGTAGTTTTAGTTTTCAAGATTTGGAAATTACAAAATGATAATTGTAGCAATTCAAGGACAATAACTCGTATTTTAAAAAAAAAAAAAATTTCACAAATGGGCACATAAAAGGTGTATCTACATGTAAAAGTTTATCTTATCCTCACGCATGCTCTAATTTTATCGGAAATTAATTTATTGTTCTTAAATTAAAATATCAGTGAGCAACATGCATCATGAAAATGATATGGATGAAAGTGAAACACCGCCCAAAATAAAGCGACCAAAACCATAATTTAGCAAAATAGAAATATCAAATAAAAGAGGCATATGGTGCGCAAGAAGAAAATTACATTCCTTCCCAATTTTCCAACAAATGTTAAGGGACATATTTGTTTCTTGTCAATTGGTAATTAAGATACATGGTTTTAGACTACTTTTTTGTGTGGTAAGAAATTCTCAGAAAATGTAATATTTGATTTTATTTGCCTAACCGAGTAACCGAGTGACGAATCCATGTACAACATTGTGAAATTACACAGAAGAAGGTTCGCACTGTTTAGGACCAGACTAGGAAGGTACCTGCAGAATGCAGGTCGCGGCCATTACCACAAATGTAGGAGTCACGTTCAAACGAAAGAGCTGGGAATTGGGAAGTGAATGTGGGAATCAAAAGCATCAAACATTGGGATTTCAAGGGATTGCTAAGTGGAGCTTCACATCTTGGACTCATTTGAGATTGTTTCTTCTGGAGACCTTTAAAGCAATAAGGTCGAGTTTGTTCAAATTCGACATATTCCTGTCACAAAAATTGAAAAGATTGTGGTTTGTGCAATGGAGACAAAATTTATCAATCCATTCTCATAGGAGTAGAAGTAGAACATTCGGGGTTCTATTAGACATGTGTTGGTTTAATTTTTCATGAAAAACTTCGAGTTTTCATGGGTGTAATGTTTTAAGAAAACATCAGGTTTTCAAAAACTTCGGGTTCGAAAAATATATGAACTTTAGGTTCATGGGTTCCTGCAAGCAAATGCAATATATACATAAAAGTATGCAATAGATAAATGCATGTAGGTCTTCAGGGCCTACGACAATAATTTTATGAATTGATGATTTTCCTTTATTGAGTTTCGGGCCAATAAAGAGTGATGGACAAAAAGTAATAAAACCCAATAATCCTCAACTTGTGAGGTCTTGTTCGACGATCTGCTTAAGATGTTGAACTATTTGTGGAACCCACGTAAAGGTGTAAGTGGGGAACACAATGAGCTACTCCTGGACCTTCTTCAAGTATTGCGACATCCTTGGATGTTTCGTCGTATGCTCTCTTAAGGCTTAGTTGGTGGTCAGCTGAGAATCTAAATGGATTGCAAGCTTCTTCGCCGCTAAGTCTATCGCTAGCCGGGGGGTTGTTGGTTAAAACCTCATGTTCTGCTTTGTCATTGAATGCTTTGAAGCCTAGAGTGTCCTGGGCTTAGTCGGCGCGGCTGGGAGTTGCAGAGCATGAATGTGCACGATGGGGAGCCATAGAGCATGATTTGGTGCGACAAGGAGCCGCAATGCATGATTGGCATGACTGGGAGCTGTGGTGCAAGATCGACCATAGTGCTAGAGTTTTGCCCAACACATGATGACATCCTATTGGCCAAGGTGTGTCATCCATTGGATGAATGAGGAAGAAAATTCCCAAGATATTAATTAGGAGGTAATATCTTGGGATAATGGTGGAAGTATCCTTGATTGGTTATAAGGAGGATTCCTTACTTCATGTAGTTGATCTTCAATTAGGAATGTAAAAAAGATAGGATTTGATGATTAATCCTATCTTTAATGTCTTTGACTTTTCCATGCCACGAGCAGGGGAGCTTTGAACAGCAGTAGTCCCCCGCTTGAACTTCCAATGATGCTGAGCTGCATGTGGGAGTATTTGTGTGTCTGCCCATTTATTGAGGACAATTTTATCTTCTTTGGGATAAAGTTCACATGTCGTCTTTTGGATTTTTGAGATTTTTTTGGCTCTACAATAGCCACGGGCTGGTGTTCACAGGCTGAGCAAAGAAGATGCAGCGAGCTGCTTCAGGCGGGCCCAATAGTTTTTCTTTTTTTATTTTTTATTATTTATAATTATAGCTATTGCGGGCGGAGGTACCAGACCTAGTTTTGGGCTTAGGGTGACCAGAATAACATCCTAGTACGTGCTAAGTGAGTTCACTGAAAAAGAAGACTGGTGCCGCCACTACATGTGCCTGTGTGTTTTTTTTTTTTTTTTTTTTTTTGTATGACTTTTGTGTTTTGGTTTGGTGGGCTGGAGGATTAAACTACGGTGGATGACGAGTTTGGCTGAGGGTGTGAAGTGTTTTTCTAAGAAGTGATTGGAGAATGAGAAAGTTGATGTCGATGGCATGTGTTATTATATGTTTGCTATTTGGGTGACTCTTGGATCTACGTTTGAGTTTTTTAATGGATTGATGATGATGATGATGATGATGGAACTTTCTTTTTGTCTTTTTTTTTTGTCGATTTTGTCTTTTGGTTATAAAAAGAAAAGGACCAAATTATAATATTAGTCTTTTGGTTAGACAAAGAAAAAGACCGAATTATTACTTTGGTCAATGTAGTTTCAGTTTCCACGGTTTTAAAATTACAAAATGATAATTATTGTAATTCAGGACAATAACTTGCATTTTTTTTTTTTCACAAAATTATCATAGGTGGGCACATATTTGTTGTACACATGTAAAAGTTTATCTTATCCGCATGCTCTAGTTTTATCGGATATTAATTTTTTGTCCTTAAATTGTACTATAGTAAACAGAATGTATCACGAAAATTATATTAATAAAAGTGAAACTTCGTCCAAACTAAAGAGATTAAAACCATAATCTAGTAAAAAGAGAAAATATCAAATAAAAGAGCATATGGTACGCAAGAAGAAAATTATATTCGATTCCAAATTTTCAATAAATGTTAAGGGACATATTTGTTTCTGGTAAATTATTAATTAAGCGACATGGTTTCTCAGAAAAAGTAATGCATGTACTTGTTACTTCCAGACTAAGAAGGTACCTGCAGAACGCAGGCTGCAGCGATTACCACAAATGTCGGCGTCAAGTTCAAACGAAATAGATGGGAATTGGGATGTGAACGTGGGAATCAGAAGCATCAAACTTTGGGCCTTGCAAGGTTGTACCGTCGGTCGTAATCGGTATTTTTTTAATACGAGCAAAACTTATGGTTGGGGAAGCGAACATGAGAATTGACATCAAATTTAGAGACCAACTGTAGTAAACTCACTTAATTGGAATTTTCAATTTCCAATTGATGAATTTTCAATTTCAGAGATTATTTTAATTGGAATGGTCAATTTTAGAGATCAACTGTAGTAAACTCACTTAATTATAATTGAGTTTTTATCACAAATGGTCATTGAAATTAACTCTCACTATCAAGATGGTCTCTTAAATTGAAAATCAATCAATGTAGTTCCTGAAAATTGGTGTTGCAAATCAATATGGCTATTTCTTCACAGTTCTGTTAAAAATTCTGTTAAGTGCTGATGTGACACATAAATGGGTCCCATAAATCATTTTTTCCTCACAAATGGTCCTTGAAATTGACCCATGACATCAAAATAGTCATTGAAATTGACCCGCGACATCAAAATAGTCCCTGAAATTGAAAATTGATCAATGTGGTCTTTCTAGTAAGTGTTCCAAATCAATGTAGTCATTCCGTCACAATTCTGTCAAAAATTCTATTATGTGCTGATGTGACACATAAATGGATCACACAAGTCTAATTAAATTTAAAAAAAATTACGAATAGGTTTAATAATTTAATAGTTAATAAAAAGTTATGAACCCAAAAACTCAATCCTGCAATCACCTCTGATCCCAGTCCACATTTCTCTACCTCCTTCGATATCTATTCTCTAAAAAAAAATCTCAATACACTCATCTTTACACTCTTCGACACCCTTCACCGAATTGAACCTAGATCAAGATCACCTTTGGTGAGGGTCAATTTCATTGTGCAACCTAGATCGACACACTTTGACACTCTATTTGTTGTAGGTCCTACTGTAAGAAAAAAAATTATATTGTGCAAAAAGATATTTAGACAATTCTTTTAATTAATTATTAAACCTACATCAGCACATAACAAGTTTTTTTATAAAATTGTGGTGGAATGATCACATTGATTTGCGACATCTATTTTCAAGGAATATATTCATCAATTTTCAATTTTAGTAGGCATGTTGGTGATGTGGTTCAATTTCAAGGACCATGATGATAGTGTGAGTTAATTTTAAGGACCATTTGTGATTTTAAAAAAAAAAAACTCGTAAATCTTGTAGGACCCATTTATGTGCCACATCAGCACTTAACGGAATTTTTAACAGCATTATGACGGAAGGATCACATTGATTTGCGACATCTATTTTCAAGGACTACATTGATTGATTTTCAATTTCAAGGACTATATTAATGGTGATGGTAATTTCCAGAGAACATTTGTGATAAAACCCCATTATAATTTAGTTCAAAGAAGGAAGGATCTTTTGCTTCTTTCTCCACCAATTTTGAATTTCGTATCACGTTCCATTTCACTT